ACAGTTGGACCTACGCCCTTTTTGAGAGTAAATGTTGGTAACTTGATTTGTTTTGGTTTATTTTGATACGCCATTTGTCGTACCAGTTAGTCATTGAGGTGAAGTTGTAGGTTTGATGAGGCGGTTACCGGATTTTCACTAATTGACAAAATGRCATTATCGTCAGCATAATCAGCCACCATGGTTTGAGGCGTGATGGATTTTCAAAAGGTATCGTTAGTTATGGGTACAGAATTATAAAAAGAATACAAGACAACTTATAGAAATTCCAATTCGAGATATCTCAATAATTGTACAAATTAAATTCAGAAAAGAAATCCTGGAGCATTAAAGTATTCATTAAACGGTGTAATTATTATTAATTTTTTCCTGTCTTCGTCCCGAACGCATAAGAAATAATACATTATTACATTATGTATATTTTTAAACTCTCGAGATGTATTGGGACTAACCATATGGTCCATATGGTTAGGTTAGGTTAGCTATATAGTATGCAGATTTAAAATTTTTAACATTATGTTATCTTTATAAATTAGTCACATTTACATATTTTATATAAAATAGGTTTAGTTATTATCAACTATAATTATTACAAAACAATAAATATTTAAAATTCACATTTTTTTTTTCGAGCTTTAAAGGAACTAAACTCTTTGATTATATCATCATAGTCTAAACCTTTTGTAATATCTGATTCGATGTTTAATATGGCGATACKGTTTAGTCGTTCATCAGTCATCCTCGACCGCAAATAACTTTTAATTCGTTTTAGTGCTAAACTTAGCACTAAACGACACTAAACGATCGCTCTGAAGAGCAGTTAGACACATGGAAACATAGATACATTCTTAGAGCAATATATACGTACGGGTATATGTCTTCAAGTCCTTCATTTTTAAGTGTTACACACATATCTATAATTGATTTAGATAATTGTTCCTTAGGTAAGGTAAGTAAATAGCTACGAAAATGTATACATTCGTTTAGATATGGATGCGGGTAAAATGTAATTGATTGGCTTTTGTGAGTTCTTAAAAACCATAATTTTTTATCTTATAAGTTATAAAAATATATTCGATGCAAATTAACCATAAATGCGGAAATATTCATATCTCGCAAGTCTCAAGGTCTCGGTACAACAATATTTTCACTTTGATATCGAATGGCTTATATARATACACCCAATCGTCAAARATACTATGAGTTAAGTCTACGAGTTTATGCTGTCCGTCGAATTTCAGTACCTAGTTATAGTTATTATAATAAGTGTTTTAGGAAAAAAATCGAATGCACCAAAATATATAACTCTAAATAAAAACTTCTATGGAAAAAAAATTCTCACTCGCAAGTATAGTGGAACCTAAATGTTTCCTCTTATCCTACACTCCTACCAACTACTACCACTATTATACCGCACTTTACCACCACCATCACCACCATAATGATGGTATACTGCTGCCACGCCATTCGTGATCATCAACCCGGCAAACTAAATAATTTATATCCATTTTATATATGATGCAAAAGTATCGGAAAGGGTGATATTCAGGGGAGCACGGTGGCGAAAGTGTACAAGGTAGTGTATAATATTTCATCACGACAACTGTAAATGTTTTTTCTTCTCCCCACCGCCCACCTTAGTCAATCCTCGRAGTATCGAATCCTTATGACTACGATAACCGAAGTGGGTCTCCATTTTATACGATTTATGTTTAAAAAGTCGGAAAGGAAATTAATGTTATTAAAGAAACGGCTAGGCGGTGGCAGCAACAGCAGCTGAAGAATAAATTTGATACGCCGCACACGGCATACCGTCGTCCGTAATACTATTGAGATATTTTCGCATAAAGATGTTAACGTATTATTTTTTTCTCTTTTTTTTTTTTTAATAGAAATTTTTTGAAGTAAATATACCAATAAAATACTGCTCTCTCGTTCTATTACCACTCCAACCTTTCAACTCTTCACTAACAATCCAACAAGTTATCGTTTTATCGTGAACTACGTGATATCTTTGTAAATAAGGCATTATTTTATTCACAATATATATAATCTTATTATTTTTGCTTTTTAGTATTTTTTTTTCTTAGAAAATACATTAGCAAAAGCGTTTAATTTCATTTCATGTTTATTCAAATTTTACATAATCTATTTATTTTTGTCTGAGAGATAATTCTTAATTTTACTCCCRCAAAATAGTGAATTTTAATTTTAATGTCAAAGGGATATTATATGCCATTTATAATGCCTAATTTGTTTGTTTAATTCATCACCGATCGATTATAAGTAATATCCTTGCATTAGGATAATTTGTTTATTAATTCAGAATGTATCAAACTGAAAAATATATTATTGAATTTCCTCTTATTATTAAATGAAGTGTAATTAAAAAAAAAAAAAGTATATACATATATGTATATTTGTATATTGAATTGTTGATTATGGAAAATAAACAACTGAGATATAATATTACAATCATTATTAACAGAAGTTTTCCCGTCAAAAATTATACAAGCTTTTTAATTAACCCAATAACTTACATAGTAATATGAGTATATTAAATAGAAAAGTAATTAAATTATAATGTAAATATAATGTAATTTTTTATATAAGACCATTGTTTTCAATTGTTCATTGAACTTTAAAAATAAACTATTATTTGTTTTACTTATTTTAGGTTTTTTTTTTTATATATATAAATTATAAATTAAAGTAAGATATTTTTCTTTGAAA